TATAAGGATTTATATTTAAAATTAAAGAGTATTTCCATTATTTCAACTCCCAATCATGGTCTTCCCAAATGCACATGTCTTTTTGATAAAATAACAATGATTGTGATGAAGTGACCATTTACACCCTGACACCGTTATTTCCTTCTTTATTTATTTATTTTACATTTTGGGTTTATGAAAAAAGTTAGAACAGATTAAACTACTCGCATTAGGAGTAGGCGTAGGAACAGTTAAATGAATGAAAGGTCGAAGTTTCAATATGGGCAGAGACCAAGCAAAAAATGACGATCGAGAGAGAGAGAGAGAGAGTAACAAATAGTAACAGATTAAAAAAAAAATAGCGATATGGATTGAAAATCGCGTCACCATCAATCTTGCTATAAAAACAACCCCTTTATCCCTCGCTCTCTCACACACCTTTACCCCTGCCTAGCCGGACCACCTCCTTGTTCTTCCTTAACAGAGCTCTCTGCTTCCATCCTCGGAGCAGAGAGAGATCTGTTATTTCTTTTTCCCGCCATCCTTCTAAATCCCATTTTCTTTCCTTCGCTTCAATCTTCGTTCAGCAAAATACAAACTAAACTAGCCCCGTTCTCTCCATCTCGTCTCAGTGATCCCTTGTCGCTGCCATTAATCTTCCTTCACCGCCTCTGCTAAAATGGAAGAAGCTCAGACCAAAATTCTGATACCTGTGTCGGTCCAGGATGACGTCGCGGGACAGATCAAGATGATATGGGATGTGATCAAAGAGCCATTGTTGGTTCCGCTTCTGAATGTGGGAGTGTGCCTTTGCTTGGCAATGGCGCTCATGCTCTTCATCGAGAGGGTTTATATGGGCATCGTCATCGTCCTCGTCAAGCTTTTCTGGAAAAAACCAGAACAGCGTTACAGATACGAGCCGTTCCAGGACGACGAGGAAGCCGGCACCTCCCATTACCCTGCGGTTCTCATTCAAATCCCTATGTACAATGAAAAAGAGGTCCGTCTCATTTCTCTGATTCCTCTCTGTTTTTGTTTTGTTTGTTTCTCACATCCTGCCATTTACTGATTTACGTCGCTGTACACGGATTTTTGCGAAAGAGAATCCTTCGAGTTTTGCAACTTTGAAGATTGATGTTTGTGTCCTGCATTGGCCGGTTTCTGGGCTCAGGTTTACAAGGTGTCCATAGGAGCTGCTTGCGGACTCTCATGGCCTTCGGACCGTCTCGTGATCCAAGTCCTCGACGACTCAACAGACCCCGCAATTAAGGTAAGGGTGACAAAAAAATTGAGCCAGACACGCCCTTAATCTCAATCTATATTCTATCACCTGCATTTCGGTGCTTATCATAATAGCTTCTTCTCATTTACGCTACATTTTTCCAGTCTAGAATATAGGTTCAGGTCCCGAGAAAACAAAATAAATTTTCACAAATGCTAAGAAAATTGAGAGTAGCAAAAATCATTTCGTACATTGAATTGTTTCGCATATAAATCTTATATATATACAAACATATATATGAACTAACAAAGAAGGGATTTGCATTGGATGGCAGCAAATGGTGGAGCGAGAATGCCAGAGATGGGCAAGCAAAGGGATCAACATAACGTATCAAATAAGAGAGAACAGAACGGGGTACAAAGCTGGTGCTCTGAAAGAAGGCCTGAAACGAGGCTACGTGAAACATTGCGAATACGTGGCCATTTTCGATGCAGATTTCCGGCCGGAGCCCGATTTTCTGAGGCGAGCCATCCCCTTCTTAGAGGGCAATCCCGACATTGCTCTCGTTCAAGCTCGCTGGAGATTCGGTAATCAACTCCCCTTCCTTCAGCTAAAACTAAACCACACTAATTGTGTCGGTGACATATTACTATATCGCCGGTTTTCCCACGATTCTAATTTAAACAAATTATTTTGGGTCTTTCCTTTAATTTTGCTTTTAATCGAGGCTGAGGGGCCCACGAAATTAACCCCATCAATCACGGGTGGGACTGACTCTTGCTTTTATTAGTTTTTTTCGCCGACAATTTTTGCTTCTTTCAGTTCTAATGCTAATTTTTGGAGCTGTTCCTTGCTAAACACTTTAACTTGATGGCACTCCAACTTAACAATGCTCCCTGTTGGGTCGGAATGACTTAATTGCCTCCGCCCTGTTATGGAGAGACACGGTCTCAGTCATGTAGCGAGCAAAACGGCGACGGTTGTTGAGGTCATTTTGACATTAGAAAATTTGGAGGAAAAAAAAAACAAAAATCAGGGATAATGGAGGGGCGGGGGTAAAACGGGGATTGCAATGAGTCAGCCACCAAATCCTGCGCACCGAGTGGCCACGTGGCTTTGGTGTAAATTTATTAGTCTTGGGGATAACAACGGAATCAGCATGATAATAAGGAAAGTACAGCACTGTGGGCAGTGGCATGTGCCTCTGAGGGCGGACCTCCCACTGATTTGCCGACACTTCACCCGTCCCTCATGCATCTCTCACGTGGCATTTTATAGTTTGACTCACGTGACGACAAAAATTAATTCCGCCTTTTGGGTTGCATTTCTCCCGCCAAGCCTTTCCCTTTTTCTGCGTTTTCTTAATACTCCTGCATAATTTTACCTCTTCTTTAAACACTCAATCTTTATTAATACACCGCCCTTTTTCTATCGTAGTACTATCTGTTTAATTTAATATAATTTTATTTTGATGCTCTTTTTTCTTTTTAAATCATCGGAGGTTTCAATTTGTAGTCATTGGAGTGGTGCGTGCATGCATTAGGATTCCAATTGTATCGAGAACAGGAAAGAAAAAGTTTTAACATATTCCGCATGGAAGCTATCATAAATCGAAGTGATGACTGTGTTCTTTTCTTTTTTTTTGGAACAGTGAATGCGGATGAATGCATGTTGACGAGAATGCAAGAGATGTCTTTGGATTACCATTTCACAGTGGAGCAAGAAGTTGGATCAGCCACTCATGCTTTCTTTGGTTTCAACGGTAATTGCATTCATTTAACTAACGTTAGTCTTCATCATCTAGAGCTTATACCTTACCGATGATACAATCGTTGTTGCGCGTATCCTAAATGCAGGCACGGCAGGTGTTTGGAGAATTGCCGCTATTAATGAAGCAGGAGGATGGAAAGACAGAACCACAGTGGAGGATATGGATCTTGCTGTCCGTGCCAGTCTCAGGGGCTGGAAGTTTGTTTATCTTGGAGATCTTCAGGTACTCTTCTCGCACATGAATTCTATTAATGCAGCTTCTATATCACTTTTAACTAATAATGGTTATCTTTTATGTGAAAACACTTGCTGTAGGTGAAAAGTGAGCTTCCCAGTACTTTGAGAGCCTTCCGATTCCAACAGCACAGATGGTCTTGTGGTCCTGCTAATCTGTTCCGCAAAATGGTGATGGAGATTGTAAGGAACAAGGTTAGCCCTTCACAATCATACATTACAAAAAGGAAATTACATGATTCTCCTCTTGAGTTGAATATGCAATGATCGAATAAACATTCATCGAAGTGGTGAAACTGTTATCTTTTTTTTTTTTGATAGCAGGTGAAACTGTTATCTTGTCACGCCTGCTTTAGTGAATTTTTATTAGGATATTGAACATTCATTGGTACATTATGTTACCTTGTGTTTTTTGTCCCCTATACTACTGAGATTGAAAGGGGGAAAAACGTCTTTGTTACTGGCGAAGAACAGGTGAGAAATGAAATTTGCTGACATTTTTTCCCTTCTGGGCGAACTTTTTTTCGCAGAATGTAAGATTTTGGAAGAAAGTGTATGTTATATACAGCTTCTTCTTTGTGCGGAAGATCATCGCCCACATGGTCACCTTCTTCTTTTACTGTGTGGTGATTCCCCTCACAATATTGGTCCCAGAGGTGCAGGTTCCTCTATGGGGAGCTGTCTATATTCCCTGCATCATCACCATCCTTAATTCAGTAGGAACTCCGAGGTCTGATAAGTTTCTTCTTGTCATGTTATATTTGTGTGGTCTGACTTTTCACTATAAGTGTAATGTTTTGAAAACCATCTGGAACATTGGCAGGTCCATTCACCTATTGTTCTACTGGATCCTTTTTGAGAATGTCATGTCTCTACATCGTACAAAGGCAACCTTTATAGGACTCCTGGAAGCTGGAAGAGTCAATGAGTGGGTTGTCACTGAGAAACTTGGAGATTCTGTCAATGCCAAGAATAACAAGACAAATGTCACCAAAGCACCCAAAAAGCCTGCATTTAAATTTGGAGAAAGGTCAGTTCTCTTTGCAAAACACCTAGTTACACACCCACACACACACACACACACACCGAGATACAATGATGGTTAGTATTCTATTTATTCGTCCTTGGCCTTATAATTTCAAGCTCTTCGTCTCTCTGCTGTCATTTCACGTGTCCATGTCGTTGCTTCCGTGATTAGTTTCTTGGAGGTGTGGATCTGGCTAAAATTACTGCTGGCATAAATAAATTCCATTATCATTATCACACTTGCATTATGAAGGAGATAGGTTCGATAGTGTCAGGCCATGACTAAACAAATAATTTAATGATTGCGGGGAATAAGAAGTGTGGCACTCTGGCCATTGAGTGGCTTGGTTATTTATTTTAACTTTGTTTCAGCGTAGCAGATAAGATTCTTTGAATATTAGGTGGATTATTAAATATAGACAGCGAAGTACTTGGAGATTCTTGTTTCCCCAAAACTTTCTTTTATGGTTGCCAATAGGCAATGCTCATCCTTCGGCTGAACATTTACTGTCACTTGCACATGATAGAAGATTTGGAGAACCCCAAATTAAAATTAGTATTTGATTTATATATTAATATAGAAACAATATTAAAAGAAGGAAACCAAGACGAGAATCTGTTTTCTGTTGCTTTGTCATTTGATTGACTGTGCCCTGTTGTTAAACTTGAACAGACTAAATTTATTGGAGCTGGGATTTGCGGCCTTCCTCTTCTTCTGCGGATGCTATGATTATGTGAATGGAAAGCACAACTACTTCATATACCTCTTCCTGCAGACCATAACCTTCTCTATAGTAGGATTTGGCTATGTTGGCACAATTGTTTAAAGCTCTTGGAGCCTACATCTGAAGTTAGTTAGGTTTCCCCTGTACTGTGTCCATATCTTTCTAGTTCTTCAGAATACGTAGAAGGGGCTGATTAGTTTCTTCGAGCAACGCATCAGGAATGGATGATCATCAGCTAATTCATTTTCAAGATGGGAAAGAGAAGTTCTTCCCATAGTCCCAAAGATTCAGACAGATCAAAGGCAGAGAGGATTTCTGTCACAATAAAATATCCATAACACAAGCTGGTATAAGGACAAGGATGAAGATCTACGAAAATGTGATTCTCCATTACAGTGCTAGGCAACAGGTAGTTGGTGTTGTTAATTGTCAGCATAGGTTGTTTTTGAGAGATTTTGTAGTTTTGTATGGGCCTTGTCTTTGTTAGTTTCCCCTAGTTTGAACCCAATTATCTGGTGGGGTTGAAAAGTGCACATTGTAATTTATGTTATTTTTCATTTCTCAAGGAACGAATCGAATCTTATTTGTCGTTCATTTATGTAATCAACTGCTGCTCCTGTTACAGTTGTACTTGTGGCAAGTGACATAAATGAATGAAAGCTTGTCAATAATATATTCTTCTTCCGTGCCTCTCCAATATCAAAAATAATCTTCCAGAGCCTCAGTTCACGGCTACGATCCAGTGTTATGATTCTCCGCAAACACACGCATCCATACCTTCACTCTTTTGATTTCATTATTCAAGCCTTTCCACATGACAAACAATTGCAATTTTTAATTGCTCAAAGGGATCTATTTTTTCTGTGAGTTTAAAATTCCTTCATTGGTGAAAGCATCTTTCTTTCTCCCTGAGTTTGAAATTTCTTCATAGGTAAAAGCATAGGATGCCATCTTTTAGTTTTTGTTTGTTCATAATTCATAGCTTAGCAAGCGGCAATAAAATAAAAACTTGAGGTAAGAGGTCACATGCAGACACGCATATGCCGTTTGTTCTTCTGTCAGAACCAATGTGCCAAACATAACCTGTTAATTACAACCAGCCAGTATTGAGAAGCCCATTGTTTGTTTGCAAAACAAAAGGGTTCCATTACAAATCCTTCATTAGCTGTGATACACAACCCCGTTTCTTGATTTTGACAGCAGAGTACGCTTTAGGGTAACATCATCAATCATCACTAATATATAAAAGCCAGAAAGCTTTCATGCCTAGTCCCCTGATCATATGTAACCTGACATGGCAAAAATCATGATTTGTCATCTGGGTTTGTTGCTTCTACCAAAAGCGACATTATCTGTGTGACCTTTCCTCAGTGCTTTTTTTTTTTTTTAAATGCGTTACTGTCTTATTTTATGAGCAGAGAAGAATGTGGATGCACATGCAATCATAATCCTTCATTATAGTTTTTTAATATTCCTCCAATCCTAAATATAAGACTCATTTTGTAATATAAATTATATTATAAATTATAAAATAGGTCTTACATTTAAGACCGGAGGAGTTAATTTTATTAAACTTTATGCCAATCATTGTCCTGTCTATGTATTGCAAACTTCCAAGGTAAGCTTAATCCCAATCTTTTCCTAAAGAAAATGTCAATGAAGGAACAATAACCATTCTTTTTACACGATAAAAACCCATTAACTTTGCTGAGAAAGGTTTTCAACGTCTGTTATGGCTCACATATTATTATACTAGATGAGTAAATTTCAATCATATGATCAAGTGGCATTAAAAAAAAAGACAGAAAATTGTAATTTGGTATAAGGTGAAAATAATAGTAATTGCTTTCTTCTATAAAGAGACAAGGCTAATTTCAGCATCATAGCTGTTTAAGATTCGAAAAAAAGCAAGCTCGAAAGGGAATCATAAGCGATAATGTAAGAAGAGCACATAATGCTGTAAAAAAATGTGAAAGGAAATATTTTTTTATATATAAACTTGATCTATTTCTAAAGATATAAACACTTCAAAAATGAATCTCCCTCTAAAGCATAAGGAACTATCTGCTTTGCCTAAAAATTATTTCTTGCCAGAAAAACAGCAGCCAAGGCAACTTACAAAACGAGCAAATATCATTGCTGAAATGTGGCAGCAAGACCATAATGCAAATAATTTTCTTCTGATTTTACCCTTTTCCTGTGTTTGGGCAGAGGTTTGGCAGAGTATTTATTAAGGGAGCCAGAGTTGTAACATGGACACATAAATGCAATGTGTGTGTACTTGTGCTTATATAGTGAGGACAGCATTCTAGTTAACAATATTGTTTCCAGAAAGAGAGAAGATATGGGGACATCAAGCCTCACAAAAGAAAAAAGGCCTTTGGTAAAACGCACTTCGCATAGTAATATTAATGAATAATTAATTCAAGGGTATGAAGAAGTTGTCTTTTTCATATTTGTTTGATCTTGTTTTCCGATTTACCGAAATTGGATCTGGCGAGCTGGCTATGTGTCGGCTATGGAAACACCGCAAAGTTTTCTCTG